TGGCTAGAGTACCAGCACTTTATTGGAGTCTGTTGGTTAGGGAATTTTAGCTGTATTATTTGTCTTTGGTATTGTATTGAAAGTATAGTCTGTGCCACATGTATATCTATATTTGATATAAATTTCCGTAGATAGACATATTGTTATTTGTTTTAGTATTAGGATTTATAATTTCTTTAATAGAGATATGTACAGAAAACTTAATTTATATTTATAAAGTAAGTATTTCACATTATTATAGAGCTTCCTGTTTGATGAACCTTGTCTTATCGTCTACCATTTAACCTTGTGTTGACAGTGAATCTCCACTGTCGTAATACTTGTATTACCACAATATTGCTATCCCTTATGCCATCTTCAATAAAAACAGAGATAGCATTAGTTTTCGTATACAAGTGTAACGACATTTAGTATTCACGGTTACTAATATTCCATTTTTTGTAGTGTTTCGACTTCAAGTATAAAATACTATAGTATAAATTTGTCTTTTGTCTTTTCGCGTCATTTTCAATGAGTCACAGTACAAAGTGAAATCATATTGAAGTATTTTCATATTGTAGAGAAAATATTATTAAAGCTTATGGCATTCGAAATTCAGTTTGAATTACTTTTTTTATTCGTACACAGGTTCGTGTTGTTTTTGCAGGCCATTTATAATAAGATTTTTTGAAACCAAAAAAAAGATTGAAACTAAACACCAAAAATAACTAAAATCTAGTTATAATTACAACCAATGTAAATATTTAATTATGTTTTAAAGGTTTCACTCATATCAATCTAGAGAAAATTGATTTGATAGAAAATTATAAGATTTTTAAAAATCGAAATCACAGAAATGTTTGATTTAAGATTCGATGTACGGATTAAAATAAACACCTTTTACTTATGACATTCAATTTGTTTTTTTTCCTACCACAGACTATTTAAAAACAACAGATGCTACATTTAGGAGATAGCAGAATAAGGTAAACGTCCCAAAGCTAAAGAACTGACCTATGTGAAATGTATAAGAGTATTTTTTTAATTTGAGTCGAGTGAATTAAGTTCCATAGATTCCATATATTCTTTATTCTACCTTACCACTATTATGAAGACACAGCTTTCCTAGTTCTCAATGTAACCGTCATGTTGAAAAAAAAAACGTGTGCAGCTCACTTTCCTTAGGATACCTATTACTTGATAAGCGTAAGAAAGATTAAAAAACTTGTAAAATAAAAATTTCAAGGTTAGTGTATAGTCCAATTAAAAAAAAAATCAGTCCAATACTCGTCAAAAACTTTAAAGTTTCGTGTTTTTTTAAACTTAAGATCAGGAATTCTCACCTCAACCTATAACTGTAGTAATATCAAAGGCTCAAATAGTTAAATTTATTTTAAAAAATCATTAAAATTTTTACACTAGGACATATGTATATAGATACGTAAATGAATTCATAGCCTCAATAGAACTCAATATGGAGGACGTATAAAATGATGTAATATTTTTTAAATAAAAACAAATAAACATAATTATACTGGGAATTAGTTTTTAATACACAAAAAGTCCACAGTTACATTTTATATTTATTCATAAGCAATAAAAATTAATTACCATATGTGTCACAAAATTGAACCAATTCAACATTTAGGAAACCGACATATATTATATATACATACATAGATACATACACATGTTATTTCATAAACAAAACGAGTATTGCTGGAAGCGACATAAAATTACTACAAGAATAAATTTTAATGACATCGTTTTATCGACCGAAATACTTTACTGAATATTGAAGTCAACCGAAACATACGTTTTAACACGTAAAGGCACTTTTAATATGTCCAATAACAACAACAAAATGCTTAAAAACATCAGATATTGATGTGTTATAAAATAATTACTAAACAACACAAGAAACTAATAAGGAAGTTAAATTTTTGGATAAAGAAATACCCGGCATTTAATTTGGCACGTCGGGAACAACAATACTTCTTCGCCCGAAGTGCCAAGTATTTGACACATTGATTTGCCTGTAACCTGTCACAAATGCCGGGTACTGTTTAGATTAAATGATGCCAATATTTTTGTTTCCTTTGTCAATCATCAATGAAGTATTCGGCCAACTGGAGATTTTCATCAGTATTGTAGTGATTTGAATATTAGAAACAATTGCCATTCAACACAACCGAATTCCTCGCAATCTATCAAGGAGAAATCATAAAAAGATACAATACTTATTATAACATTAGTTACTTTCGTATTTAACTCCAATAAGTCTTTCTAAATATCCATTGTCCTACATTACGTGTCAATTGTCTTTGAAGTATGAAATACAATCGCAATTAATGAGAATTAATGTTCATTTCATTTTTCACTCATATTTGTTTATTTATTTTATTAATTATATTTTCTTAGTATAACAATATCTATAAATTGATTGTATAAGTTCGTAATTATTAAATTCGAATATTTTAACATATGTATATTAATAAACATGTTTTATTTCAATAAATCACAAAAACAATTCTTTAAAACAATACATAATATTCGAAATGTAAATGCAATATTTGTGGCCTCAATAATAAATAATTACAATATCTAACTGTTATCATATTATATACCTTCAAATATTTTAAGTCACTGTAAATTATTAAAACTAACGGCGCCAAATTTAACAACATGAAAAATCTGTGAAATTGGATTTTTTCCTCAATGATATGTCCGCTCAAAATTATCTTTAATTATGTTACTGTTTAATTATGAAAACTGTAGATATTATGAATTTTATAGTTTTCTATATACTTATATCTTTAGAAGATTAGTGCATTTTGTTATTTCATCTATAAGTACTATAATCAAGATATTTTAATGTCTGTGGGCCTAGCACGAATATTTGTGACAATCGCCATCGTATCGTAATCGTTAAATATCAAAGTTAGTATGAGATTTTTGGTGTATCTTATGTCCGATAGGGGCGCTGAAAAATTTTAACATACTAATTTTGTATAACGATACAATGGCGATTGTCACAGATATTCGTAATAGGCTCACTGTCTTTTTGGGAGTTTGTTTTGTTTGTTGAATATGTTATTATTTTAACTAATAAATGAGTTGAATCATATACGGTATTAGAATTTTATATATAATTCAATTTTAATATATTATTATGTAATTATTGTTATAAAATATCCCTAATAATTATTCAAATAAATATAAAGACAACAAAAAAAGGTATTATATATTAGTCATTTTCAAGATTAAATTAAATATATATTTTAAAATTATATTTAATAATTTGATTACTTTATAAATAATATATTTCTTTTGTTGGTATTTAAAACTAATTAGTAAGAATAATGTATTGGTAACTAATTAAATCTTTGTAAATATTTAATACTGCAACCCATCGCTTATAAAATTACAATAAACCTTACTAAGATATAATTATGATAAAATCAATAAGCTTTAAAAAAAAAATAGTTACATCCAATTCACAGATCAGTTCACGTTTTCAAATATCGGCCTGAATTAATTTCCTACAAAAAAACTAAACATTAATTTTATAAACATTTTTCGGAGACGTTTCAAACATAATCTAGGATATATGTTATATCATTCGCCTAACCTATGATAGAATTTCGAATTTGATCACGAAGAGAAATTATTATCAAAACTACCTAGTGTACTTTTCCATAGGGTAAGTGCATTTTGAACTATAGATTAGTGAGTCGCGGCGACCATGTTAAATGAAACGCACGTTGATTATAGCTAACTACTCTGATATATTTATTTTTAATGTTAACAATGAATATTAACAAGCACTGGTATAAAGGATACCTAATTTGGCACAGGATACCGTTTTGTAATGTACGAGTTAACAAACAGACCAACTAAATATATATATAGAGAATACTTACAGTTTGAAATCTAACATTGATAATTTCTATACATATTAAGTTTGAACAATGATAACTTTCTGCGATTTTTCTTCCATATAATATATATTTGTATGATTTATAAGATTTATAATTACGTTATAAGAAGAAAAAAATCATAAAAACAAAAGAATGATGGAAAATAATTTAAAAGAATATTTGGGATTCCAATTACGAACTACTTGAGAAATAACTAATGTAACACAAAGATTGTCGCCAATTTGGGTTTTCTATTGATATTGTCATTTGTATTTATAAGATTCGACTTACATAAGAAGAGTCACTGTAGATCTAATATAAATAAAACTTAGTGTCTATGACAATTACTTTAATATGTGATTATCTTAGAGCAGAGATGAAACTACGTCGCGTGTCATGCAATGTGTTTGCAGTATCCAATTTTTATAACCTCCACATAATGTCAATATTACTTCCCACTCCGATTTACCATACTTTTATAATTTTCCGATACTTGTAAATCTCTGTCCTTAAAAAAAAACTGTGAAAGGAGATTTTCATGCAGTCTTTATTAGCTTTGGTTTAATATATCAAAGTGGATATAAAAATAAACTTTGAGCTTTGTTTTATGGGTTTGAAAATGTTTAATAAAGAGATTGAAGTAAATTATTATAATTGCTCAGGATATTTCATTTGGAGACAATAATGTTATTTACCTAGACCATAATATATCGATAAGTTTATATACTATACTAAAGAAACATTCTTTCAAAGCGAGAAAGTAAATTATAATAATAAGTTCTATCGGTATATTATCCATTTTCGCTATAAAACAAAATATCATTAGATTCATGTTATTTAAAATGTTTGTCACAATAAAAACGCCAAGCCTTCATTGGTATGATAGTATGTATAACAATTCCTATTGACATGCAAAACCATCAGTCGATCCGAACAAAACGACGTCGCCCCACGTTTCAAAACTTAATTAATAGTAATGTTTAAGTCAACGATATACGTTAGGAATAGATACCGATTTTATAGCCCAGACATTAGATTTACACTAAAAGAAGAATTCAATTATAGTTGAAACAAGCAAACAAATTGGAAAGAGCAACAATTTGTAATTTTGAAACTTACTTTACGATATCTAAAATTTAATTATGAAAATCTAGGACAGTGACGGTGGGATTATATGGAGAGGAAATCGTTCGAAATCGTCGTTTTCAGAGTTGCCACCTAGTTTTGTGCGAATAAAATACACTGCTTTTAAATGGGTTACTCTAAAGAAGTTTAATAAATAATTCTCACTTGTAAAAACTTGCATGAAATTATATTACCTTAAATGAAAGAAAAATCACGGCCAATCAAATCGGCATCAAGTATAACTTAATCAAAAAATCTAATCATTCAGATTACGTGTACTTTATTGTTTTCGAGAAGAATGATATGAAATATCATCTAAATATTTTATAATGAAATACTAGTGGCAACCCTTGGTATATGAGGGCGAGGGAGGAGGGGTGGTTAGTTGTGGGTAGTGGCGGATAGTAGTGGCGGCTAGTGGCGATGGTCGGGCGCGAGCGACTTGCGGCTGGCGGAGAGGTGGTGCGCGCGGGGCGCAGGGCGCTGCGACCGCGGCAGCGTGGTGGGCGTGACGGCCGCGGCTGCGGGGCTCGCCTCGCCCGCCACCTCGCGCGGTTTCCACACGGGCGACCCTACAACACACCAAACACCAAACTCTTTCACAAACAACTTTGACGTCAGCTCTAGTTCGTAATTTAAATTTTGCAATTGATCGCACCGATCGCCAGGATAACGCGATAAGAGTTGAATGTTTGATGAATGTTGTCGTAGGTTCGGCGCCCCGTTTGAAAACGTGCAAGCGTACGACCGATTTAGAGTTCGACGCGCGGACACGATAGGTTACCGAGTGGCGGTGGCGTTGCTTACAATTTGTTACCGGCGGTCAACATTGTCATCGAACATTCAAATGAAATGGTAAGTAGTATCGACGGATCAGTTTCTTATGATGTGGAGCATTTTTTATAAGTTTTTTTCTTAAATATTAACTACTAGTACATTATAATTTTAAGTCTACAGTGCACCGACGGTGTCGTGTTCTCCTCGGCCCTCAGGCTGACCTCAGTGCATTCTCTATGTATACTATATTATGTATTATATTCGACAGAAATATTGTGCACAGCTAACAAAGCGCTATGTGTACAGAGATTATATCATTTTCTACTATTAATTTGATTAAGTTATGAAGAAAAGGGTAAATATTATGTATATTTATGTGGGCTAGTCTATTTTTATTAAGATTACATTTATGATTTGCTACAATTGAGTAATATCTTCCTTTAAGCGGTTAGGCGCCGTTTTGGAAACTAACTACTACTATATATTATTATGTATTGATTATAACATGCATACATAGACACAATAATATCCATTATTTATTATAATATAGATAACTTATACACTTGGTGTAATGATTATTAATTAAAATTAATCAAAAAGTGTCCAAATAAAAATACAATCTGTTTAAATGTGAATCAAGAATAAAACGATGTCTGTCTATTTTAAAGTCTTAATGTAAACTTAATCTTAGCTTAAGCAGGTACCGAAGAAAAGGGTAAAAAATAAATAAAAAATATAGCTTAAATTAATAGAGACATTTCGAAATGGAAGACTTAATTAATGTTACAAATCCATGGCGACCTATGTAACAATGTTTAACCTAATACAGTCAATGTTGAAATAACAAGAGATAAAGACAAAAATAATTAAGGATTAAGATCAGTACGATTCCACAGCCATTATAACACTTGGAGTTACTAGAATTATAATTGCGATAAAATTTAATTAATTCTATTTTTATTATTTTATCTACCTACGATTTAGGATTCTAATCTACACATATAATGAAGAAATTTTCGTCAAAGATATTTCATTGTTTATTTAAGAGTCGGTGTATAACTGTTTCTAATAGTTTACGTATACAAGATTTGAACTTTCTGTTGTTTGTTAAAAAGTCCAGTCCAGATTCAGCCAACACAAAATTTGTAGTTGGTCTGAAGGTCTCTTGTTAATTTTGCGTGTAATTGGAAATTTAGTTCGAGTCAATTGTTTCGTGGTTTTTTGTCAATCCATTACACAAGACATCAAGACCATTATTACACTATTAAAGTAATAAAAATGAATGTATAATAATATGAAAATTTGTGCAAGGTATTGAGGGTCTGGTCTGATTGTTGTCTTGTCTCATTTTTATATCAAAGGATATTATTGAAGAAAACCTTTGTTATCGTAATTAGCTAAAGCTATTTGTCAATTCCGTTTATTTTATAAAGAACATAATCCAAATTATTTTAGGTTTTAATAAAACATAAAGAATAAAGTATATAAGAAATGAATAGAAAAATAAATTAAAGGGAATATTAATTAAACGTGTATTTGATTGAATTCGCTTCTGTCCGGGGTGTGTTTGAAGGAAGGGCAAGTCCCGCGCTCGTGGCTCATGCCGTCTAGAGTTTCGACGCTGCTGCGGTCGGATGTTACGAGAATCGATTGAGACGTCATGGATTTTCTACGGGATTTTGGGACCTTGCCCTTCCCCTTATGCTAGGAATTTTTACTCTGCTTTTTCCCCGAGAGATAGCACTGTACGCAAGTAGGATGTTCGATGGTTTTAGCGATCGATTCCGTTGATTTAGATACAACAATGCCCATTTTCATAGCTTTGTCTTCTGCTTTGGCCAACTGGGAATAATGCGTTACTCTATCTAGTGAATTGGTACCGATTCTGGCAAGCTTTTCGCCACTAGATCTGGACGACCGTCGGCTAACGTTGGGCGACTTGCACGGAGATCTGTCAAAACTGGCCTGTGGAGTCCGCATAATACCCTTCTTTGGGCCGGGTTTGGGCGACTTCGCTCTATCTACGCTGTTTTCACGCGACTTCATGATGCTCCCGCGAGGCGAGCGTGCACCATCGAAGCTCTGCTGCGGCGACCGCGACTTGTCCATTGAGTCTCGCGGGGATTTACTCTGATCGAAACTACCTCTCGGGGATTTTTGAAGAGATTTGGTTTGTTTAAGACTAGATTTATTTGGAGATTTGCAAATAATAACTTTGGTGACGCGATCTCTGTCAGGGGACTGATCCATAGTCCTATTCGGAGATCTATCTCTGTTGATGCTACTCCCGCTGCCAGAACGGATCACTTTAATCTTTTTGTCCGTCGAACACGTAGAACTTTTGCGCTCCGGGGACGATTTCAGAGAATGCGACTCCCGCTTACCTAGTTCTTTGACCATAGTCGGCTGGTACTGAGTGGGCTGGTGGGAAGACTGGATGAGGCGCGCCTGGCTGCCGGTGCTGCCGGCGCTCAAAGTCGAAGTCGTGCTGCAACGTAATCGTAACGTTATATTTTATTATCCGCAAGAAACATGAATAACGATATGACAGTAAAAAGTAATGACATATGTATGAGTAGGAACATGTAAACCTACACAAATTTAGAAAAGAGAATATTAAAAATAAACGTATGAAGTGAAAGTGTGAAGAGTCGTCCCAATTGACATCGGTGTAGGTGCAGTGTGTCTGTCATCCGTGATGCTAACCCATACATATGTTGATACCTTAGGGTGAGGTGGTTGGGAGTTCTGCCTAACCCTCGCTTGGCGGGCGGCGGCGGTGGCTCGTCCTCGCCCTCCGACTTGGAACCGGGCTCCGTGGAGCCCTGCTCCGTCGACCTGTCTGTGTCTGTAGTCGGAGGCGGCGGGGGCAGCGTGCGCTTACTGCTGCTGTCTGTTGCCATACATACAAAATACCGTTAATATTGATATAATCGTTATTCATATAAGAATTCGTAAGGACATTCTTCTTACCAGAAGAATCGTTCACAGTCTTGCTTCGGGTCCTGAATGTAGGCTCGTCTGAGGAAACATCTTGCGGGGGCTCATCGGCGTCTTGAGAGTTCTCTCGTGACAGGTCTCCTACCTGAAGTAAAAATATGTAGATTGTTTATTATTTTAATTGTAATTTTTAAAACAAAAGTTTGTTATTAATTAGTTTTTTCTAACCTCAATATTGCCAGCTGATAAACGTTGTCCAGAAGTTTTAGGTTTCTTTGTTTTTCCAAGAGTCTGCGAACCTTGCATTACATGCACCTGAAAAACAAATATTTTTAGTATGTTGGTTATTGTAATGCCACGCCTGTGAATCTAAAGTTCCGAAATGATGGTATATTGTGTACCTGGTGCTTGGAGCGATCACGGTCGCGCTCGATGGTGTGCGGGGCGCGCGGAGGAGTAGGCGCGGGCCGAGAGCTCGGCAGCGACATGTTGCGGACCGACTCGCGAATTATCTGACGGATCGTCTTCAGGAAAGCGTTGCGGAAGTCTGCCGTGCTGTTAGTTGATGGAAGAGAAGCAGAATAATCACTTTTCAATAATTCTAAGACCCAGAGACACAATAGGACATAAAAATAGAATAATGATAAAATATTTTTAACTACAGTTTCATATCCCTATTTCTGCAAAACTAAGATCAATATTATTTACCTATTAGAGAGTACATAGACTTTCTCCGAGCGGCGCTGCAGCTGGCTGCGCAGATGAATGAGCTCCCAGAGAAAGTGGCTGTCCATGTCCTTTGCAGATGACGCGCGGACCTGCACCTCGGTCACCGGAATCAAAACCTGGTACCTTATTATCTCCACCTCATTAGAATTATTCTTAGAGGAAACTCCCTGCAATACATAGTTATTTTGTTATTCTTTCATAAATATTCCAAATATTTTGTCTAAATTAATGTGAAAGTAAAAATTTTACCATCAACTTTTTCTTCTGTCTCAGTCTTTCTTTGCAGAGGAAAACAACTGCGGATTTGAATACGAAACACATGGCGTGCAATTCCAAGCCTTTCTTAATTTTTCCCAAGAAATCGGATATATTCAACCATTCTACACCGCCATAGTATAACAAATCACCTGTGGATATAAATAAATTTATTAATAAAGTAAATTACTTGTAATATATCTATAGTGTGTATATAAAATAGTTTACTAACCAGGGCTGAGATCTATAGGTTGTTTGCAAGACTTCTGATGTTGCCTAAACAAATGATCAAATATAGCACCATATTCTTCATGAATTCGTTGCATTTCGTTTATATGTTCAGCGACTTTTTCCATTCCTTTTAATGCCTCTGTAACATGATAGTAAAAGTTATTTATTTTGAAATAAAATATCGCAACCCAATTTCCGAACTAAGAGATAATAATAAATAATTAATTTCATCATGTTTTAAACTCTGTCAATCTTACCTACTAAATGAAGATGTTCCTCAGAATTAACGTCAGTCAAATTTCTAAGTTGTTGCAGTAATAATGGATATTTGAGTATCCGCTGAATCGGTTTAATTAAGTAAGACTCCAAAGTCGAGGAGTGTTGTTGCTTGGGGTTGCGCGCTGCTAAGAACTCTTGTAAAGCTTGATTACCCTCATCTGGGAAAGAAAAGGTTAAGTATACGACATTTAAAACAAAATTTACTCTTATAGGTCTTGACTAAATAAGGTAATAAATTTATTACGCGATTTATTTCTTGATGTTTATTTATTTCAGTAAATTTTTATGAACATTTTATTGAACTTACTCGGATGCAAAACTTTCTGAGCCTTGCTGTGACTTGCGCAGAACGAGCTGTATAGCTTGAAATGATTAACGTAATATAGGAATGCATTTCCTACGGCAAAGAGGGCATTCTGCAAGATAAAATAAAAATTATTTAAACCAAGTAATTCTAAGTTCTACAGTTGTATATTAAGATATAAAATAAATTATCTTACCTTGAATTGATTTGAGAATTCGAAATGATGGAAGTTAGGCTCAGCCTCGAGAGCTTCTTCTAAATTTTGCAAGAATTGTCTTTGGAAAGTCACGATCTCCTGAATATTTCCGAAGAGAGCATTGATTTCGGCGTTCGATAAAAAAGTTTCCTTCTTCAACGGTTCCAAGTAATTTTCCAACAAATTGTTTAGGTGCTGCAAGCAACGGTAAACAAAGTCCCAATTACAATAGAGAATTAATATCCGGGATCGAGTTTAGTTTGAAGTAAACATTTCAAACGGAGTGTCAGTTGTCAAGACGCAGGTGCGCCGTTTGAACGGATCCAGAATCCGTTTAAACTTTTCGGCTTAATTTAATTTATACGGTTTGAATGAATTATCAAATTACTTACTTTGGTTTTGTTTTTACCAAATATTAACGAAAAATCATAATTCACAGCTATTCATTTAAATTGTTTATGTCTTTTGATTTTCGAAAATGTATTTGCTTATTTACGTTAAAGTAGTTTCGACACGAATATCAGATTGATGAAGTCGTAGTGCGATGAACTTAGTATTCATATTGATGACATACTAAAGAAAGCGCTTGTAGTTAATATGGTGTACAAATGTATATGATGTAGAGCGAAAGAAATGTCCCAAGGTAATGATTTAGAAATCGTGCATTATAATATATCTTTTATAATGCACGTTTAAGGGCTTTCGTTTCTTATGTACCTTAACATAAGCACGCTCAGTGTCAACCAGCTCGAGCAACACTTTGCGCAACTTGTCGGCGTCAGAGAGATGTCGTGATGGAGTTGCGGCAGCGCTGGCCAGACTGCCAGTGGGGCTGCCACGTCGCGTGTCTGCCGGCGACCGACACCATCCAGTCACTTGCTCGGCACTCTGCAGTTACACCATACTTAGTAGGATGGTACTACGCGTATTGTACGTTTTGGTACGTGGATCAACTGAATTAACAAAAAAAAAATTAAGCAGAAACACAGCTTTGCCTCTTAGCAACAGTTTTCCTATCAGTTATCCGCGTTATTGTTAAGTTTAAATAAGGCTTATTGGGAATAATTCAATTATGAAATTAAATTTAAAGTTCAACGAAGTGTGATTAATAATAATTAAAATTATTAAAATATTGTTCATCTAATAATCTTTTAACTTAAATTATATTTGACTCTGAGGAACTTCAGTGAACTAATCTTCACTGAAGTTGTTAAATTTGAAATCTAAGCTATTGTTTAGTTACCGTCGCGAAGTTCAACTGGATCAAGTATTGAGATTGTGGTCGCTTCAGCGTTCAGACTTTAACACTTTACGTCACACGATTATACGCCGGCTCTACATTGTTTTGTTAATTGATAATCAATTTACTTGTCATTCAGCAAAGTTTATACATAGTTTCAACTTAATTTTTTTTTTAAATGGTCGAATTTAAGAATTGTAAAATTATGATAAATACATAGAAAACTAAATTTAAGTTTGTGAAAATGAACATACCTTAAGAAGATTCTCTATTTCGAATGAGTTAGTTCTAGAGCTGACTTTCGGAGGTCCAGTATTCGCAGAATCACCACCATGTGCATCCGTTTCAGGACTATATAGTTCTTTACCTGTATATAAATACATGGAATCGTTATGTAGAGAAAAACTTGCAAATGCATACCGTTTAAAACGCTTGTAAAAGAAACTTAATTATTACGCAAAACGAGAAAAAATAAGTTAATAGCTAAAAATAGATAGAAGAGCCGCCTCAAAATGCTAAAGATCTTCTGTTTTAACTGTACAGTTTTTACTAAACGACTGTTCACGTAAAACTGAAAGTATGTAGCTTGCTTTATTTAAAAAAAACAAACGAAATACTTTGTTTCAAGGCTAATCAAACACTCTATCTCATCTATCAGTGATGTCAATCTAAATAGCTATTTGCGTTTTGTTTCTGTGTATTAAATTATAATTATTTAATGAAAGGAATATTTTGTATGAAGAAATAAATCGTTTCCAAATACAAAGAATCTGGTCTAAATGTTTATTAAAAGCTGAAAGTGAAGGTACAGAAAATTACATGTTTGATGTGGAGCAACCTTTATGACACAGAGTGACACAATGTGCTTTTTTGGTCGAGGTGAGTCAACAGCAGCGGCAAATAGCCTACGGAAAGGGTCACGGCCTTCATTTGAGGCCGCGTCGAGTGTATACTTGTTTCTAACTTAGTATGAATTTCTACTTGCCTACACGAGTGTTTTTCATTTATTTTTGTTCAGTTTAGGGACAAAAGCTCAAGCGCTTTCTTTCATTTTACGTTTTGTTTGAGTACATACTTTGATTTTTATTTTACCTTTACATTAATTAAAACTGTTTAGATAAAACGAAACGTTCATTTATTTAGGTAATTTATACTTTTATTTCTTGCGAATGTAACAAAATAATTGACTAATCATAGGATTCTCGGCTCACCGGTCGTTCCTAGAAATAGGAAACATAAATGCTATGTTAGATTATTCGGAGAGTTGAACTGAAATAATCCCACGTTCAGCCCACACAGTTAATATTCGCCCAATCGTGAATTTCCGCAAACGAAGCAGATGTTCTACTCCACTTCACGTGTACACAATAAGAATAATTTTTAAAAAGAAGACTACCATAGTGTTAAAAATTAAGTCAATATTATAACACTGCACAACAAATTACACGGTTGACGTTGCTGTTTAATAAGTTTTCATGAAAATATATTCCTGTGTAGAGTTTGTAAAGTCAATATCGCATAAACGTGCTATGAAAGAAATGATAAATGGCGCGTTTATAATCGAACAGGGTAACATGGTGAGAGCTTTTCAATTTAAATAACGAACATCCTGTAAAAAAGGGTCATATAACGATATTATACAGTACGTGCTATAACTCATTCGGTAGCAAATAATATAGCAGACAGGTCGAATATAGGTATTGTTTGGAACAGCGCCGCGTCGTGTGGCCGCATCAAATTGTGTCCTCAATGCGGACAACGTTAAACAAACGAGTATGCAGCTCGTGTGCACCGCACTCATAATAATTAGCTCTTGTTACTTATACAACCGAACGCAGTCGAATTCAACAGCGCAGCAAAATTCGGCTGGGCGAGTTTAAATAATGACCACGGAGAAAATACCGCGGAATTTGAAAAAAGGAATACGGCGAAAAGGATGAAGAGTTTAAATTTATTTATGTTTACAGGTTAAATCCTCCCGTCGCCTTTTACTAAAATTTATTGCTCGGTAATTCTTTACTGAGCCGTTTTTCATAAGAAGGTAAGTAACAGCGTCTTATGTAATATTTTAAGATTAAATGTGAAACATTTTATGTTTTGTAGCGAAACGAATAATATGCATAGAAAACTTTGCTGCTTGCTTTAAAACTAATTACAGTTTCTATTCATTATAAATAAATGAATTTATAAATATAAATGTTTATTTCTCTCGTATCAGTATCGGGAATTTATTTTCAGTATTTCATATTACATTATTGGAAAAAAGCCACAATATTGTAAGTCTGTATTGGAAACGATGCCAAGTAATACATAGAAAATGATTGAAGAGTCGCTTGTTAGCGTCGGGGGCGAAATGGAAATGTTAATTCAATCTATATTGCTCAGTAAAGTAGAATAACTATGCAAAACAATACGATTCCATTTGCTGATAGCGATTAAAATTTAATTGGATACTACCGCGGTATGCATCGACATATTTATTGGATGGTCTATACACATAATGATCGATATTAATTGTTTACCAATAATTGTGTCAATCGATGTCACCGCACATACTTGCACAAATTGCACACGTAAAGTGTGTATAGAGAGTAGAGCTATGCATCTCGCAGATCAAATGCAAGTATATAGTGTGTTGTGCAATTCATACAAACTGCATGTGTTTTTGTTTATTTCTGATGCCAAAATACTTGTATAATTATATCGTCATCCCTCTCAGTGTCTTTGACAAAACAGAGATAACAATAAGTTTTATTACTACTTAAATATTATTTGGCTTGTTTAATATGAAGCTTGAAGTTCTCTATGTAACTTGTAGCTCATAAAAGTTTCAGTAACTGTATCTAAAAACCCTGTATAAAACTAGACAGTCACTTGCAAATTGTTTATCACGAATATGTCTGTAGCTGGACCAAGCAATTTGCCGATCAGAGTGACAGGTCCTGTATCTCAAAAATCAAAGAGTAACAGTGATGTATGTTCGGGTTGCATTGTGTACTCACTCCAAGCGGGCGCGGGCACGATGAGTCCGGATATCATGTCGTCGGAGATGACGGGCGGCTCGCTGGGAGGCGGCGGACACACCAACGAGTCTATTATGTCGTCCGTCGCCGCGCGCATCACACCACTCAGTTCCGGCGGCTCAGTACGTGACGACCTGTTCACAATTTACATTCAATTTACGTAACTGTAGAGTTCCACTGCCACGTACTTACACTAGTACATATTGCCAATACTTTCTCTTTAATCAAACGTTGATTATCACTTAATAATATTATAAATACAAATGCTTGGATGTGTGGATGGATAGATGTAAGTTAGTAAGTTGTATGGCTGCATAGATCTCGCTCTACTAATTAGGTTTTTTTTATTTCGCCCGGACAGAGTCGCTGGCGACAATTATTGTATAAATACAAGTGTCACGTCAGTGAAATTTTACCGTAATACAAGCCCGTGTACCCAGACTTTGTTTAGGTAGATAAGTAAAAAGATATAGTCTGGGTTTTTTGGCTCTGATGACTGAAATAGTTTAACCAATTTGTGTTATAAATGAAGTTAGCGAATGGCTACAAATAAGCTTAATAACCTCGAGTGACTGCGTTAGCCTAGAAAATTATAAGTCCTTCTCAGTTAGCCTTATGAAAACTTAAACGTATGAGTACTGAAGGCTATCCTTGTGCCTTTTTATAGACGACTCGCAAAGAATTATCGTCTCTTATTACCACGGAATAAAAACAAAAATGGCTTGAATTAGTATTAAAGAGGATGTTCATTTACTGACAGCTTGTTCTTGAGGTTAAGTGAGGTTGCATGATTGCTTGTTTATGCTAATTTAATGATCCATCTTCTAACATTCTAAAGAAATTGTTACATGAAATACAAATAATGATACATGTAATAAGGTAAATTGCTTTATTGAATTGATTTCTAAAGGATAGAATGTTATATTTGTGAATGGATACCTTGTTAATAGGTAATTGAAACGTAGAGATAATATTGATTTTCTTTTTATTAGTATTCTATACATAGTACCTTTTTATACTTCATTATTGGTTTTTCGATATGTTTAAAATTCAATGAACTTATAACGTCGGTTTTCAGCAACACGGTTTAATTAAAAGCTTGCGGGGTTACAAGCCTTTTAAAAGTGTTGACTTTAGTTTTATTACGTTTGTGGAAAATGATACCTCGGTTAACAGGACGTACTTAAAAGAGGTAAGTAAAAAAAGGTTTGGAGGTAACTTTTATTTTAGGATACATTAGAAGGATCACACGCATTAAACCTGTGAACTGTTACCACTGACTTACCACATTGGTTACAAAGGTATCGTGTTGCCTGTGGCTTTGGCGGGCTTGTTTTATCGTGAAAGTAGACAAAACGGTTCAGAACAATGGCATGGTGTTGAGAGTGAACATATCAAGCTGTGTATTTTGTCGAGGAACATTAATTGTCGCGGCGCGTAGACGTCAGGAGGCTCGGTGGCTGCTCCCACAATGTGCGGTGCGGCGAGCGGTATGGTGCGGTGCGGCGTGAGGCCGCAGGGCGAGGGAGTATGTAGGTCGCACCGAGCGCTTCAGTAAACTCGTCGCGGTCGCAAAAGGTCAGGTGTATGAGGGCGGGAAATGCCTATGAAGGCCTTCTCGCCGCTGCCGTGCGCCGAGCACCGCGTTCGACTTCCGTTCTATTAGGCCCCAGTCGCTCGGTTTCCTGTTCCACCATCACTTTAGCGAAGCAAAAGTTAAGTTGTTTTTTCCTCTACCCATATTCCCATCTGCCCTGAATTATTTATTTCTAAACGACACTTCCGAACTTGGCTACCGTAAGTGATTAATGATAAGGATAAACTTAGATGACGGAGTAACATTCGGAAGGTAATAATGCGGAAAGTTGGCAGGAAGTTGCGGAGACTTACCGCATCATCATGACGAGAGAAAGTTCCTCCTGCAGGACGCTCTCCAAGTACATCATATCTAGGTCGGACACGATCGCTCCGTTGATCACCATTATCTCGTCGCCTTTAATTATTCCTGACAAAGGAGATAATAATTGCAACTAGAACGTTGAATTGATTTTTTTTGTTCGGAAAAATATAGAGAAGTAGCGCAATTTGTTTGAACATTATATATTCAAAGGAAATGTAAATGGTAGTCGAGATTCTACGAATGTTGAAAGTTATTCAATTGAGTCAATATCAACGAACATGACAGCTACAATTTCATTATCGCAATGACGAAATATTTCCAATCCAGTCTTGTTATTGTATAACAAAAGACATTAAGGACAATGATAGTCTTACTCTAACATTACATAAATTTTCTAATCATTATAAATAGTACTAAAATGGCTCATCACTGCTAATATGTACAACAAAAATTATTAGGAGGCTACCAAACTAACCGTAAAAACATAGACAGTTGTGGCGTAATTATGTGGGAAGAACTTTAGGATAATTTTGTGATTCAAGTGTATAATTGATAATTACCGTTCTGCATGGCAACGCTCTTGTCTTCAACGCGGCTGACATAGCAACAGAGTTCGTCCTGTCTCTCCGCGTTCTCTATCAGCTCAGCCTCCACACTGAAGCCCCACATCTGTTCCAGCGTGTTGCGCTGCAGTTCCACTTGGTACAGGATCTTCGCACATACTTCTACCACTTCGTGAGTATGCAACTGTATGAAGAGAATAAGTGATTGACTGTTTGAACTCGTAGTATATGTATTTCGACAAATTGTTATTGTGTTAATTTTAAGTCGGTTACTCTATGTTTATTTTGGTTTACAATGATGAATCCACAATTGTTGTAAACCAAAACAAACATAGAGTTTTTCAGGATATGCAGTGGTACGTGAGGTTTGAAAACATGAAGCGAATTTGTGCTACCTATGTCTGAAAAAATAAATGTCTTATCGAAGGAGTCTGAAACCAAATTCTCTGTTTAAACATATTGTTATCGCTGTTTTATCAAAGTTTTTTTATCTGAGAAATCTACGGTTATTACGTTTTCAATAGTTCACTTTCTATAAAGATAAAAATGTGAAAATTATATTATTTAAGCTTTTTATATGTAAACATAAGGTAAGCAAATAAGGTATTATAGCTACCGCCATAGTGTAATCGAATTCATTGGGTCTGGGTAATTGGTCCCCGGGGTCCGCAATGATTACAGGCGGCTATCATTAAGTGAATTGCCTGCCTGTTGCGGCCACAAACAACTGTTTAAATTACCAATTTAAATCATTACTTTTTAATTTGAATTTATTGTTGTTTCTGCCATTATTTATGTTGCATCTTTTACAGTAGAAATGAATTTTTAGACTTAACCCAACCATCGATCTTTAAAATTGATCTAAATACTACTTAGTTACTTCGTACGGATTTCTATCGATCATATGGATTGATGATAGATTTAAATTAAAAGGAAATAAAAAAAATGGATAGACAAAAGTTTAAGATCCATAAATGGGTCAGACCGTTAAATGACATGACGCTGAATTAATTTATTCACATTGATTCACCTTACTTGATAAATATATGTTTGAAATATGGCGAAAAATCTCAATTACAAGTAAATTGCAAATATGTGATCATAAAAATACAAGATACGATGTCTTTGAATGAAGCCTTTAGTACATAAACTTCGTAGATATAAAATATATGTAAATCGATATATCGAATATAAATAAAATAATTCGACATCGATATTAAAAGTCTGTATTAAAAATAAGTCGTAAAGATGTTTTCTACGAATGAATGATTAATTCGTTGCATTTCTCTTTCGAATATCGCGCTATGAAATTCTCGTTTCCGTTTTCAACTGATTTTACAGTTTTTCCTAGAACTGTAAAAACTGTTACTGTTTTAAAATAAATTTGTTTCATACTTTCAAGATATGAAAAACGTTAAGACTAATTAATATATACATAAAATTTTTGTTTAGAAAAATAAACCACCTACGTTTTAGTAGTAAAACATGTAAAAACTTTTGCCTCTCTACTTTAAAAGACAATTTATATTAATGATTCTCATCACTGTAAAATTTAAGTAGTAGGAAGATTACATTCAATTAACTTTTACGATCAACAATGTAAGTACATTTATTATCACTTTAATTAAAATAAGCGGGAGATAGAGTAAATTGTTAAACATTAAATCTTTTACTGTGAAACACATGTTGGTATAATTTTTTTTATTATCTCTCTATTTCAAAGAGCTTGAATGATGTAATACAAGATGCTATAATACAAAAGACTCACCATTAGAAAGTGTTGCCATAAACAATTATTGAGAGATGTAGATGAACAGGAAAAAGTGACTTTATGACGCATAGGTAAGTTTTTATCGATTTCTTATCTTGTGTTCCAAACATCGAAGTTCTTCACATAATTGACGAGTGCTACTAAAATGCAAATAGACTAATGGTTATCGGTGTGGACATCCAACCATGTGATCGTGGGTTCAGCACCATACTAGCTAATTTCAAATAATCTGGTAATATTAAAAAAAAACAATACTAACGTAAGTTTCGATGAGATCACTGCGGTGTGGCACGAAGTAGTTGTGGTCTTCCATATCACGTCGCTTCTTGACGCGCACGAAGTGTTCCAGGGCGTTGAGGGAGCGTCGGGCGCAGGCGGCCACTAGGAACTCCTCCACTGACATCCCTTCCCTCACACCCACCGTAGCAGTGGTGCCCTCTGGGAGAGACACCCGTACCGCAGCCTCGCTTTCCTCACGCGACATCTGGGGCAAACCACAATCGTGACGGCGGACATTTAACAGAGGCTATTTGTACGTATTGCTATGTACCTTGTGTGGAGATGAACTTCATAAAGTTGCTTATTGTTTAAAAATAGTTGAGATAATTATATGCCGTATGTAATTGACAATTTAAGTAAGTACAATGTTTTAGGGAAAGTGTTGCGTAAATAGTGTTGTAACAATTTCTTACAATAAAGTTGTAAATATTAGACTGGATTACCTTACTATCAAATGCTTGTTGTTCTACTGCATTTTAAGGTTAAGTTGCATATGGAGTTTGCAGCGAGTTGCCAGATTAAGTAACTATTAAGTGTAAACTTCGTATGTTTTCTTTAATAATATAAGATATTAAATTTGCTCACAAACTTATTATGTTTATGCGCAGCATTTGTCGGTACTGTTATTGCTACCTTCTGTGTAATTTGTTGAGGAAACGGCAGCGCTTAGGCAAGGAGGCGTTTAATGAAAGGTAGTCCAGGAAAATGGAGGACGTAGATGTATACTAATAGACTCTTTTCCTACTTGTATTAGGGTCAGGGTACTAACGTAAGAATATTGCAGAAAATGTATATCCCTATTTCAGCTCTAAGTCCCTGCACTATGTTTCCGATTTTAATTTTCTCGTAAGATCCACGATTTAGGTTAGTACAAGAAAAATACATTTGAAAGTTTTATGGCGTCTGTCCAGTCTAAGCAACGATATATTGCCTCTTTAAAAGCATAGTACGGAAGGAGAAAAAAAATGTTGCTTTGTTTTTCTAGTGTTATCCTTAGATAGAAAGAGCTTTTAGAAAGAATCGTTGGCTTTTAAGTAATGAAAATGTTATTGGTTTTGTCTTATTGGTTGTGTAGTTGTTGTTTGATGTCGTTGCTCCAGTTTAATAAGGTCTATGAAAAGCAGAAAATCAATCAAAATAATATAACGTTGCTGGAAAAGAATGCTAAAGTAAATATAATAATCAATTAAATGCTCCCGTATAATTGTAGAACTAGAAATATATTAAGTTTAATGTTGAATTATCTGAATAAATATCTTAAAATGTTCATGTCTGCTTTTTAGATTCATTAATTATATTCTTAGCGTAGAAAATTCAAAGGATTTTATTTCATTCCGTCATATGTTACGTTAAAAAAACGAGCGAGAAACCAGTCGTGCTGAAAGCGAAAAAACATTTTTTTTTCTTCTCTCTTCATACTGGACATTAAGTTCATATCATTTTCGTAAACAACAGGGTACAGCGTATAAAAAATTAAAAAAATATTTTATGATGTATTTTTCACAGAAGTGTACAAAAGAGCATGTGCGTTTTAATTAAAATGAGTGTAATCGAGTGTACCTGCATGGAGCGTCGACTGGAGCCGGAGTTGGAGCGGGAGAGGTTGGGAGCCCGACGTTTGGTGGCACCGCGACCGGCGAGTAGGTTGTTGAGTAGCGAAGGCGAGCGCGCGCAGATGAACGCGTGGAACGATGACACCGTGAACACGCCAAGCTTGTTCAACGTGCTCTTTGTGCCGCGCGACACGTGCGTCAACAGCGACTGAAACAAGCAAGTATTTTATCTCTGTCACCTTTCAATCCTACCTCGTTCTATTACAATGATAACCACGAAAAATATGACATGTTTATTTGAGACTTAATTTAGAATTTTATCTTTTAGACTTTCAATTACAAATATTAAATTTGTATGTTATCAGTTAGCGGTGACTTAATATCTTTTCTTTATACTATTAAAGTAATTAATTGGTAGGGTATTTTCCATCCTTAAAGATAGATAGATAAATTAAATACTGTGAAAATTAAATTTTAATATTTTGTAAGAAGAGTTAAGAAAATATTACAGTATATTAAGAGATTAACATTGAACAACTATAGAGTCTGTATATTTATAAAGTTAGTTGGAGTTTAATTTTCAAAGTTCGACTTAAAGTCAGCTTTAAACATGACGAGTGTCTGCTATAACAATAGAGATAGTAGAACTCGGGAAATTTTATATATGCAATATAATCCCCGAGAGAAACATGTTTCTCTGAATTCAAAATGAAAACAACGTTTTATATATCACCATATAGGTCTTTGAAAACTCAAGAACATTGAATAAACAGTTATGAAATAAATCCTTAGGATTTACGTAATGCGAAATTATGTTTCATGATGCGAGAAACGGTCTGAATAATGATACCATTCAGGATTTTTCAGGCCTCCTCAACCCTTAAATATGCATAAAACCAAGTGTGTATTTGTAATAAAGGGTATTATAATAATGTTGCTGCTTCGCTGATTCCTCTTATGGTTTACTTTTATTCATGATTAAGATCCGTCAGACGTACGAAGCTGGTGAATTGTGGCGCGTCTATTGTAATTTTTCTAGTTAACTATTTATATTGCATGACATGGGTCCGGTGTAATAGATATTCGTAGACCCTCTACGGCCTCACGTCGACTACGAGCTGTCAATTTGGCAATGTAGCTAACAAATATCCCTTTTCTGTCACTACGATGAAATCATTTTGGCAGTGAAATATTTTAATGCGTACGTTCCATGGATTTTCCTCTTGGTATTGTTTCTCGATTCATTATTATTAGACATTATTCTTTTTGGCATTACGATCGCTAGCTAAAATGCTTTGCTTGTATTTCCTTTGATGATGTTTATTCGACGTCTTTGTTTTTTGCTTTTGGTTTGGCAAACTGTAGTACGGCATTAGAAGTCATTTGGCTCGGTATTTATTTTTATTCAGACATCGATAATGGCTTTAAGTCTATTTTTTCCTTCAGCATAAAAAGGCAATTTACGATTTTTGTTGACTATATATTTTTCATTATGATGAAACGTATTTTATTGAATGACAAATTGTTACGTAATTACTAAACAGTAAGGAATAAGAAAAAGAATTTAGATTTACTAGATGTTAGTGAACTACCAGCAAAAATTGGATTCGTAAAAGACACGGAATTCTGTAAATTATGTAAATTATATAATTTTTGTTCTATCGTAATATATGTACACTTTTGGTTTTATTTTTCGTTTTGAAATATTTCTCAATAATTATTTTTCATTACTTCATTCAAAGGTTAAGTACAACCGGCATTAGATTTGGTACGCTCGGTAGATGAGTACTCTTGTTCCCGACGTGCCAATTCAAATGCCGGGTATCGAAGTTGTCAAATATTTTGGCTCCTCGGAACATGGTACGAGTCGGTTCACAGAACACAATTTAATGTGTAGCGGGGTTTAAAGGGATGCTGTGGTATGTATTGCGCAGGGCGCAGATTACCTTGAGCCGAAGAGATATTTGAAAAGACGTTAACTATATTTACTGTACCAGTTTTACCTTAGGGTTGGGTAACTCGCCGCTCTGCAGGCTGGCCATGTAGCAGCGCAGGCGGAACTGCTCGCAGTGCAGGCGTTCCAGGTTCTCCTCCCACTGCAGCATCTGTACCGCTAGCTGCGCCCGCGTCTCCGGGTCCGACACAACTGACTGCTGCAGGTCTGCCATTTGCTTCAGTTTATGATCCTGCCATACACAACTATATTTATTTCAAGTTCAAAAAAGAATATATAAAGAATTAAGTATTATTTATTTGGCATGCAGTCAATATTGATTTAAATAATACTTTTTCAAAGTAAAAACTATTAAAGATGCAGCAAATCTAAACTTATTCCTTTGTATTGAATGCTCAATGTACAAAACATTCGTTAAAAATTCGTTTCCAACAAACTTTTCGGAAAAAACAAAACAAACGTTTGAGGTGAAATTCCACATTCGTACATTTTACTGGACATATCTATCGTATGATTGTCACAAAAACGGTTCTCTCTCGTACATTTTAATAACTAGTACGAACTAAAGTAAAATGTATACGTTTTTGTTTGTAAAATTCTTTTGTGTCCATTGTGACGAAATGAATTAAATTTGTCAAGGTAAAGCAACAAAGGCTTAAAAATTCGATTATGTATTACATTTTGCGCGGCAGGCGAGGATCCCGAAGTCGGCACAGAGCGTGCCGACTGCGTTATGAATATTAATGAACTGACACCGCCTGCCCCTGATCGCAACACAAGATACACCTTACAGTATCTTTATTAAAACCATGAATTTAAAGCTGGCGTGCTCGATTTGAAACTCAAAAGTATCAAATAGGTCCATTCAATACCTTCAATTATAACTGTACAGTTGAATTATTCAGTTAAATAATACACGTGTGGGTTAAATTTGAACTGTCAGTTAAAATGGACAATTCATCTGTCATCAATTTTACTTATAAACCTACAGTTTGAACTTTACAGTTAGACTGTACATTTACAACTGTGCAGTTAAAATTAAAGGTGTGTAGCGAGCTTTAAAGTAAGATATAAAGAATATTTATTTCTATTCTTCAACGCATCATTAATCTGTGCAAACAAATAAATCTAAATTCACAAAGCTTTAGAAGCTTTGTTCTATTATGATATAATAAAAAGTGTAATAATGTTGGCCTTTTAAAGCGTAGCGTAGCATAAACATCCGACTTAATAAATTCCTAAAGTATGCTAGTTCGAAACCACTTTGCTCTATATTTCGTGCAAACAGCTATACGTAGAATAGATAACAAAAGAGATTGCGATGGAAACGCCGACGTATTCAGCAGGCTGCATTGTGTTGCCGGTATTTGATTTAGATGCCCAGGCTGCACAGAGTTCATAGCGCCGTTTGAAATTAAAGCTATATTCGCATGTTATGTTCGTGCAGTGATCAGAGCCGGCCGCAAAGGCTTTGATGCGTGTTGCGGTCGCTACGTGCGGGCCAGAAATTGGCACCATTTCCACTAGCGGCGTTACAGACCACATATAAACCGCCTACGCCCTCCCCGACTATAATGTACAAATGAATACGTTCTGCTGATATTTGCTTAACATATGTACGTCCGAAACATTTCACTGGTCATAAATCAATGTTCATACGAAAGTCTATACTTACATTTCATCCGTAAATGTGCGGTACAAGAGCTTGAATTTTACATGTAATATATTAATGGACATAGATCTAATTCATACTAAAAAGAAATTTAAATGTATACTTTACCTCAATTTAACTTTTGTAGAAGAAAACAATCGTGAGAACTACGGTAAAAGCAATAAATTTATCTGCATAAATGATGAACGCTTTTTGCTTCGCTACATTGTACACACTTGAAAGCTTTACCCAACTCGGAGAGTTGCGGCGCGGTTGCAAATTGACTCTTATTGTGGTACATTTTAAAGCTAAAATCGGGCCGTTCAAATTTCAGTTTACGAAGGTAGTTAGTGATTCGTGTCAGTCAAACAATACTTCTGTTGGTTCAGGCCGACACGGTTTACACCGTTGAGCTGTGCATAATATCGGAGCGAAACTGTATTGTGTTCCTTCACCTTTTCAATACGCTGCAGATTTTTCAGAGATTATTTTTATTCAAAAAACTTTGTATTACTAAAATGTGTTACTCTTCACGGTTTTTCAATGGATACTTTTAAATGTTGCCGTCTCCTATCTTATGATTAAACTGCGATCTATGTATACTTACGGACTCTATAGCTTTCTCGAGACGATATATTTCCTCCTGCAGCAAATGGAGTGTGCCGGTTTTGCCGCGGTGGCGCGCAAACGCCGCGGCGCATGCACTGTGTATGCTATTCACCCAGTTCTCGAGCTCGACCTGGACGGTTATATAATACATGTACAAATGAAGTGACACAAGTGTTTTATGCGGTATTTTTAGAATTTCTAAACAACTCACTTGGCACGGAGCTTGGAATAGGTAAGCGTCGCCGAACGCTGTACTCAGGCAAAATATGTAATCGCGCTTCGGATGCTCGGGTATGGGCTGCATTATGGCGCCGTCGACTATAATAAGGTGCTTTGGAGCGGCCTCTACGGACCGACCCTCTCGGGAATCGCACGGATAAAATAGAAGAGTGGTGCCCTTCAGGCAAACCCAATATCCCTTCCAGCCTCGTTTCCGTGCCAATTCGATCTGATGTTTTTTACGTAGCAACCACTTCTTCACGCTCAGGAATCTGTACAAATAAATTAAATGAAATGTATTCATGAATTCAATGCATTATTCTTTTTAATTTTCTTTTGAAATTTAGTCCTTAATTGTTTTTAAATTGTAAACTTCCAGGTTCAAATTACGTAGAAATTACAAAAAACGATAGTTTCAAAAGTTTTGAAACAGTATCCCAGGTATTTCACGAAGTTAAGCGTTTTGACCCAATTAAAGACGACCGCTTGGTCTTGGATGGGCCCGTGGCTGTGTTATGATTTCAATTGCTCATTTAACTTGAAGAACTTTTTGAATGACTTCGAGTGACGTTAGCGAATGAGAGTCTCTTCAGAATATGCCGGCCGTATAACGACATTGTCGACATTGTCGGGGACCGGAAGGAAAATAGATTGTTATCGTGTTCGCAACACATTCACTTAAACTGCAATTACTTTTAGAATTGTAACTTTGTATTTCATAAGTTGTTACAGCTTTGCATTCACCGCATTTCTACAGTTAACTCGAGGCTTAAACATTCCGAGCGGAAATCAGTTTTCATCGCGAGATTTAATTTGAGTTTAACTATGTGTAAATTGCGGGCATAAATTCAAATGATATACTTAACAATTTACGTGAATTAATTTATAAATCTTGACATATTCATAGCTTTATTTCTTTTAAAAATTTGACAGTAAAGGCATATATTTTCTTAATTTATTTACTAACTTAATTCAATACCATATACCTGGTTTATTTTGTAAGGTAAATAAAATTATTTAACCTGCAATTGAAGTAAGCTTTATGATAATATTCTACATAAATGTTGCATAATTTTGCTTTGTTATTTTAAGTTCTAGTGTAATTTATGTTTAATTTTCGCATTTCTGTTATAAATTGTTTCTACAAAACAAAATTGCATATACCTGAGATCTTTAATTTGAATATTGCAACAAGAATCATGTTTCTGTGTTTTAAATCAGTTATTGTTTGCTGTTTGCTAAGTTTCATTTCCTTCTCAAGAAGTAGTCGCATAAACAAACTTTATTCTAAGTTATAGAGAGACGCAGCCTGAGTGTTTTGAAACTTTCCTGTTTGTAATTGTAAAGATGAATTCAGTGAAGTCCAAATTTATAACCAAGTAACCCAATTTTCATTTCTGTACCAATTTTACGTTGTCTGTTTGCAATTAGTACTTGAATGAAAATTTAGCGCTTTATATTTTACGTTGTGTAACCATAAATTCTTTTTATTAGAGATGTAACAAAATAAAAATTAATACTCCAAGAACGAGTTTAAAGTTCAAGAGTAGATAAAGTAAAGATATAAAATAAAAAAAATAGCACAGTTTTATTATTAAAAAAATAAAATTTAGTTCTTGTTACTATTGATGTTAATCCACTAATATAAAAACATATAAAAACTTAGAAGTTTTAAATTCATCTAAAAATCAAAACGATTAATGGTTTTATAAAATCGCCAACTGGTATTCGTAAATAAATACTTCCAAATTATAACAAAAAGTAACTACGCTAATGGATAATACTTTGAAAAAAAAAAGACCGCAGCTTTTGAGTAGGTTTTTAATTCGAGATGCTTTTACGTATTCAGTTCATCTGAGTTAACTTTTCTCTATTCGCTTTTTTACTTCAACATTTCTAGAGAACTTCAGATAAAACATGGTTTTAAAAATGTACATCAAATATTTTTTGCCGTATGTGATTTGTTTTCATAAAGTCAATATTATTTTGCGACCAAACTATTTCAACATACTTTCATTATCTTTAACTAAATCATTTAATTATTCTTTTCAATTCAATCTTGGTTTTTACGCTTATTTATTTTTAATTTTTGTTCATTTTCATTAGAAGAATGTTCATTTCTTTTCTTTAATTATTTTATACTGCTGTATTTTTAAAACATTTTTCTCGTATTAAATCATCTCAAATTTTCTGAAAAATTAAGAAACTTTGTCTAAAAACTGATCAAAACGTCTACAACTTCTATAAAGTTCTAAATATTCATGGATAATTAACAGCTAACATCAACATCACCCGTTAGTAATTCATCCTTGTCCTATACAAAAAGTTTTTGTTGCAAAGCATAGTTTTTTAAGGTTCATTAGGACCAAATTTGAATTTTAATTAAGGTATATCTACTAATTATAGCAAGATTAACGTGGTTTGAGGAAAATTACGTTACCCCTTTGTAGAGTAATACGTTAACTTTTAATTAGTCTGAATTTTATTCATTCGTCGCATACTGTCTATACTTTTAGAATTCTCAGCGAGAGAGAAAAAAACTCAAAATAACTCGTATTTTCCCGAAGTAATAAATGATTTAGTACCCGTAAAAAATAGCTGAGTAACTACGTATTTCATGATAACCTTTTAAGTTCTTTTTACCGTAAAGTTTTTGTATCGCTCTCGTTGATAAGCCTTGAAGGAAAAAAACCCTCATCGAAGGCAAACATTCTGTCTCGGGCTGCCTGTTCCTTGTACGTTTTACAGCCTGAATGGGTCACGGCTAAGATTTCCCTCCGGTCATTTGGGATTCATGGAACAGAAATTGTAGCCTCGAGACACATAAAGGACGCTATAGGCTTAAGAAAACTCGTCAACTCCTAGCGATGTCACTTTTCTTTGCAACTTTCCTTACAATTATCTTAAGGCTAAGGAAGACAGGTGCTTTTACCGAGTCACTGATTTCAAAGGATCGTCTTTGTGTAGGTAGAAAATGGTATACTGGCGGAAAGTAAGATATCTTTTCGACTACAACATTTCTTACTAAAACGGTCAGTAATATCATGTCGCTTAGAACCTTTTTTTGCTATTTTCCTTTCCTTACATGGTTTCTGATTATCTTTTAACATTAGTAGCTACTTACTTGTTGCCCTTTTTAGAGAGAACAAAGGAATGCTTTTATGTCGACATTTGTTTAGATATAATAATGATTTTATAATGAAGTTTTATGTCTGTGTTGTTAACCAAATAGTTTTATTATTGTGTGCTTAAATTGTTAACTGTTTTCAAAAAGTGTTTTAGTCATTTTGGATTGAATTTGAGTAGATTAAGTTATAACTTAGTTATTCAATTTTCATGATTTCGGCTGTAAAGTGAAAAAAATTAACACTCTGATTTTGTACTTTATCTGGCTGATGTGTTTAAAACAACGTATTGAAGCTTAGTTAGTAAGAATCAATAAAAGCGTATGCATAGTTACCCCGCTTTTCTCACGGCGCCAGTGCAGTTGAAGGACGCCGCCGCGGCGCCAGTCTGCTTGCCTTTGTAAGGAGAGTTCATCGCGCTCTCACCGGCTTCTTCTTCGTCTGATACCGCAGTCGTCAGTGACATGCGATCATCATCCGATATCTACACAAAGTAACAACACATTAATTTGTTAAAGAAATTAATAGTCTCCAATACTAATCGAAATCTCCCACAAACCACAATATTACGACATTTCATTTGGCTTTTCGGAAATTAGATTCTTCTTCAGATTAACAAGCCAAATCAAGCACAAAAACATCACAAGAAACGACTCATAAATAATCTTTTAAATGGTCACCACTATTTTAAATTCATTCAATAAAAACTGGTATAGTTTAAAGGTAGATTAATATTTTTATATACATTTATAAAACATGAAGATACTAGATAGTATAACATTAATTCACACTTTTACAAAATTACGAATTCTTGATGCATTGCCTTCCATAATTTTCCGGGGTAAGAGTGGTTGTATGTTCTATTTCCAGCATTTAAGGTAATCGTAATTTTGCGGTTTCATTCAAAGTATGAAAATCATTGCGATCACTATAATTTGATTATAAACAACGGCTGAAATCGTACGAATGTTGAAGCATTTTACCTGAAATTAAGTAAGTGTTTAAGTAAGATAGTACATACAAGTTTGTATATAAAGCTTGTCGTTAAAAATAACCTTTGAATTATGCATGAGTAAATATTATAGCAGGTCACGTAATCCATACGTTCATATATAAATAAACTCTTAGAATTTAATTCAAAGAGAGCTCGAAAGTTGCCACAGACTAATATAAAGTTCTCTCGACGCTCTCTAGAAGTTTCTTGACATGAGGAAATTTTTACTAAGCAAAATGAAAATAAAAATATTAAGCTAAAATCGTCGTAAATTTCAAATAAGATGTATCTCTGATACATTTATAAAGATAACTTGAAAGTCGTTTTTATCGCTGACAAATGTTTTAATATTTATAAATTATTGTTATTTTATTAAAATAATATTTATAAAGAGGAGATTTTACTCATTTATTTATTTTATTTTCGTGTAATTTGTTATGTAATAATATTAAATAATATACCGATTGTGTTTACATTCAACCATCTTGATGAGTCAATGGAACGAAAATGTTTCGTGTTTTATTTGCGATGTTTTTATGTGTAAAACAATTCATTCGATGACTTTATTCTAAGCACGTTTTGGCAGAGAAAATGTAATTACACGTTATCATACGACATCAGCTACCCAATATATCACCTGAGCCTTTTATATTTGACTTTATTATTACTATTATTACACGTTTCCTTAACTGGCTTACTTAATTTATTACTTTTGTACCTTTGTACATATTAACAAAGGTAACTAGTAAAAGCGTCGGTGGCTCAGAGGTCAAGCACTTGACTTGCAATCTGCAGGTCCTGGGTTCGAATCCCGCCATATACCAATGTATTTTTCGATTTCAGAATAACATATGTACATTTGTCCGACGTTCTTACGGCGAAGAAAAACATCGTGATGCAATCTACACATATCTGAGAAGAATTTCAAAGATACGTATGAAGTCAACCAACCCGCACTTGGCCAACGTGGTTGACTATGGCCTAGTCACTTCTAGGTAGGGTAGACTCCGAGCCTTTCGGTGGGGACGTATAATGAGCTGATGATGATGAACCAGTAAAAGGTTAAAAGTATTGTGAGTTAAACACTGTCTCTTGCTCTTTTCTTCCTGTTTTCGAGTACAAATAAAATAAAAGTTATAAAAGAAAATGATCTAAGATCGAGTGTTGTAACACGAGCAGTCTAAACTGCGTCCTTCCGAGTATTGACGTCATTACCTTTGTAACTCAAGAGTGCTTCGTTCTTTGCAATATTGTCCAAGTTCTATCGTTCACTGAAAGAAATATTATATTGACGGCAAACGTTTTACGCGGGAAATAAAGGAATTTTATAACAAGGAGAAGTATTTCTTGCGTTCAATTTCGTTCATATTACATCCATAGAATTTTTAACTACAACAAAACTACTAACTAGTGGCTTCTGAGATCGAAATTTCTGTATAAATCAGATACCAAAAAATGTTTTAAATTGTAATTTTGGTCTTAGAAACCCGCGGCAAAGATACAAAATTGTAACTAAATGGCATTGGTTCTAACCACTGGGATTTTAATATCGTATTTTATTTTGAAATCAATAAAAAAACTGATTTTACTATATTTGCAGTATTACTGTACAAGCTGTCGCACGTGACTTTGTGCGCGTGGAATTAAAAAAAAATAATAGTAACCTATGTGTTCTTTCGCGCTCAGCGAGATCTGTTGAGCCGTTCCGGTAATACAAACAAACATTCATCCATCCACCCATCCATCTAAACATTGTCATTTATAATATTAGTAAGAAGTAAGATATGTAAATATATGGGAAAGAATACCATAAACAGAACACATTTATTAGGTTTGAAAAAGACTGTCTGTTTTTCTGAGCAATTGTATGTACGCAGTGTTATATAGTCAATAAAAGCTTAAAACGTGGTTGAAATTGAGTGACATCTTGTAATTGCCTGGATTAGGTTTATTGCTCTGAAATATTCCACAAGTTGGTATTCATTCGTATATTTTATAGGATGAACGTCGTCAGACTGCGGCCAGAAATAATCCCTACAATCCATAAAACTTCTTCGGGAATATACTTTTCGTCGTACTTTTAATCCTTCTTATTCTCGAAGCTTCTTCATTTCCATACGAGTATGTTTCGTGAATTTGATAAAGATTAAAGGCGTCGCTTTTCGCAATCCATTTTTTACGTTTGACGATTCAAGAAAGATTTATTTTAAGATAATAATTTCGAAGCAAAGAGGATTATTTATTTATATATTTATATTTTTATCCATTACTTTTTATGACATTGTACCAAAGTGATATAGGACATTGGTATAAGAATTAATTTTGATTAAAATCCTAAAAAAATTGGCATTAATCATTGTCGAAGATATTTATCCTTTCTCAACATTTAATTATTATAAAATTCTATCTGTTGCTCGCGACTCCATCCGCTCGGGAAGAAGCCTGTTATTTCTTACTGAAAATAATGCTGGTAAAATTCAAACATTTCAAAACAGTGTTAATTCTTCAAAGTTTCCCACAAGGGCTACGGAACAAGACGTAGTAGTGACCCGAGCACGCCGCCGTCGCCCGGATTACGGGCCCTTTAGTGAAAAGTTCAACCAAACGTGCCTTCATTGAATTCGTTCAGTTCCCGCCAGCATTCCCTTTGATCTCGGCGTTGTAAAGCTCTAAATATTTGTTGGCAGGCCGTGTCGTATTAACGTAAACGTGTTAGACTTCGTTTGTGTTGTTCGTTTGTTAAACGGCGACAAAATAATTTGAAATAAAAGGGATTTCAACAATATAAGGATATATTTTGTTGTAGAAACACTACATCCTAATGTATGAAATAAGGCACCAAATCCATAAAACCCTACTCGCTGAAAAGGATGCTACACTAACACAATTAGGTTACTACATATATTTAATTTATTTATTTTTAAAAGTCTAAACTAGGTTTTATTCAAAAAATTGTTTTAGTATTTTTGTCGTTAAGATTTACTTAAACATTTACACACAAACACAAGTTGTAAAAATACGTAAGCTTTTGGACATGTACTGAGAAGAAAACATCATTTACGAAAAGAGATTTAAAGAAAAATTGTTGCCCGCTTAAAGAAAAATTTAATTTAATTTATTTTCAACACCCTATAATTTATAAATACGATTTTCAATTTCTCTCAACTAAGAAATAGAGTGTGATCAAAATTAACGAAGCATCCAGGTAAATGAAAATGCTACAAATATTTTGCTTCACTTCAAATATCGAGTTCCGTTCGCAGTTTAGATGTAAACAGTGTTGCAGAGTTTATTTTAGGTTCGACATTACGTATAATGTAATTTACCGGCAGCCGCGCCCTCGTTTTCACTGAAAATTGTCGCCAGCGCTATCCCGGGAAGTTGGAACTGGCGTGTGCGCGCACCAACATTAAACGCTGCCTGGCATTATGGAAAATGTTCTACACTTTTCTCCATTTTTTGGCAAATAATTTTCTAAAAAATTGTAAATATGCCTAGAGGTAATTGCCTCGTGATGTTTAACTTTTATATACTAACAAATGGCGACGTGAAATCGTTATAATAGCGAAGTGATGTTTGCCCATAGATATCCGCAATAGTGATGCAGATCAGCATTATTTAACACGTTTCAATTGGTCTCGAAAGAGACAGATTACACTGCGTAATAAGAAATGTACTGCGTACTACTAGTGTTAGTAAGTAAGCTTTCTAGACAAAGAAAGGAGTCAAATCTGGAGATGTTACATTTCGAGTTCGTTCAAAATATAAAGTTTAATTTATTTTAATAAAATTATGCTTCCTTAATAACTCGAGTATAATACATGATATGTGAGAGCGCTGTTTCTTGCGCTTTTGATCGCGACACAATAAGACCGGGGCGGACGGTGACGCGGTGAGCGCATGCGGGTCGCGTTGGCGCACTCTTGGCTCGATGGCCCTCAGCACCGCGCCGTGGCCCTTACCTGTGCCTTTCACTAAAAAAAAGAAAATACATCTCATAGAAAATTTTTATTATATAATATAGCAGAGGTGCATAAGATGGGAGTACGGCGGTACACAAAAGCCTTCCGCGTATTTACGGAGATCCGTCTCAATTTCAGTGGCAATTAAAATGAAGAAATGAATTGTGGCGTCCGAACACTTAGCGCTTATTACATCTAAGATATTTTTTTTTATTTTGTGTTCTAAGTAAATAGTTTATTTATTAACTAGCTTTTATATTTTTGACACTTGTGATTCCTAAATAATATCTATTGGTAAAATGGCATACAAAGGCGAATCATTATTCGCAAGAAAATATTACCAACTTGATAACCGACTACTATATTATCTGTCGAAATAGCAATCCGAAAAAATAAAATAACCCTATTGATAGTTAAATGCTTAATAATTAATTATAATAATTGGCATATCAAAAAAAATTGATGGATTTTAACGTATTGGACTTTACTTTAAATAAAAACTAAATCTCAATTAGGAGTCCTCTAACT